TTGGGTGTTGTGTTTGGAATCACCTGCTTTGTTTTAAGGTGGTAAAACAAATTGCTTGTATTTATTCCTTTCTACACACTGTAGATTACTTTTTCTGCACTTCACGTGTTTAATCTGTGTGCGCTCCGGCGGGGTGACAATCATCCCCTTTATGCTTTTACTTATTTTTTAATTTTTTTGGGAAGACAGTCTGACTGTCACCCTTTCCCACAGCAAGGAGACAGTATTACACTATGACCGCAGGAGAAACGAGGTCCAGACTCAACGAGCTTTTGTGCGTCCTCACCTGAACTGACAGTCGCCTCGCTGCGTTCACTATGTGCCRCRGYGCGCGCTCCTCCCACGTCAGCCGACAGGACGCGCCGTCACGTAAACATGTAAACAGTTCGGCTTTCATTTTCACACACCCGAACCAGGTCCGGGTAAATTTTTYCCCCCCCTCTTCATTTGCGCTCTCAGCCACGCTGCTTCCCGCTTCCTCTGTTTAGACTCCAGCTGGTTAAGTCATCAAAAAGAATTGCACGGTTGGCCGGTAGACTACAGATCTCTATCATTGGACAAATTTATATCGTTTCTACTGTATATCATTTATATTGCACATTCCTATTGCAGAATTGCCTTTTTGGAACAAGAGTGATGAAAGTAAAACCCATGTATCAATCCCATCGTGTTAGTTTTGATTTGATCCATCACGTTGGTTCACCAGATAGTATCACATATTGGTGTAAACTCTCAGTCATCCAGGATGTGACAAATCTGGAAAGTAAAAAAAAAAGAAGACAAAGAATCTGGACTTTGTTCTATAGCTGAAGATATGCAGAGTTCTAAGCTTTAAGCTGCATGCTGTTGGTATCATTAATATCTTTATTTGGATTGATTCGTATAGATCAGTTCTGATTGAAGTCACTTTGGAAAAACATCATATGTATTTGATTTAGTCTCACATATGAAAAAACTGGGTTAGAATTGAAAACATCTTTTTTGTCATGCTCAGACTATCATTAAACTTTTCATAATGGGTCACATACGGGTTAAAAACCTATATTTTGGTCCATTTTGCCTGAAGTGTGATTGTAGCCTTTATCTTCCACAGGATGTTGTTAAAGTGATTTCATTCTTTGCTTGTGTTCACAGGAAACAGACATGCAGAGTTTGGAGAAACATGTTAACTTTGAAAATGAGAATTCAAGAAAAGCATACTACAGAGAGTTTAAAAAGGTCAGTTGCTGATATATTTAAATAATCCTCAGTTTTGTTCTGAATGTTAACTGAATAAATCTTTACATAGAAAGGGATGTGTTTTTAATGTTTTGTTTGTTTAAAGGTGGTGGAGGCCTCGGATGTCATTTTGGAGGTCTTGGATGCACGAGACCCTCTGGGCTGCAGATGTCCTCAGGTGGAACAGGCCGTCATTCAGAGTGGAACCAACAAAAAGATAGTTTTAGTCCTCAATAAGATCGGTGAGAACACCATTAACACATTAAAGGGATCCCTGTTTAGTTGCAACATTAGACTTTATTTAATAAACATATATTTTATCTGTAAAATAAAGACTGTAAAAATGCTGCAGGTTGTTTAGTTTTTATCATTTTTAAACTAAAAGTTTAAAAATATATGTTAACACAGACAGAGCCATTTTATTTACATGCAAAGCATTCTGGGTAAATGATGACGTGGATAGGTCCTCGGTGAGAGGCTACTAGCGAGCTATATCCACCCTGAAGGTTAATCTTGGACAATATCTGATGATCGACTCTTTTAAATGAAACCAGAGAGCGTTGACWGAGAGGAGAAGGTAGAAATGACTCAGCCTGTAACTGAAAATATGGATGGAGGACAACAGAGCTGCTTCATGGAAGAAGAACCCCAGCTTACCATGTTAGCCTTTGTGCTAGCACTGATGCTATATTGCCTTATATGTATTAGCTCGGTGCTAGCGCGACAAACAAGCTAAACTGAGGTCCTCCATGCATATTTTCAGTTACAGGCTGAGTCATTTCTACCTTCTCTCTGTCACCCCTCTCTGGTTTCATTTAAAAGAGCCAGTCGTCAGATATTGTCCAAGATTAACCTTCAGGGTGGATATAGCTCACTGACAGCCTCGCACCGATGACCTAGTTGACATCATCATTTACCCAGAATGCTTTGCATGTAAATAAAATGGCCCCGTCTGTGTACTACATTTTTGAACTTTTAGTTTAAAAATTTACAAAACTAAACAGCCTACAGTATTTTTACAGTCTTTATTTTACAGTTAAAATAAATGTTTATTAAATAAATTCTATTGTTACAACTAATCAGGGATCCCTTTAAAAAAGAGTAAAGATTTACTACTGCTGTTTTGTCTGAGATTAAGCTGATTTCTTTATTATAGATTTGGTATCAAAGGAAATCGTAGAGAAGTGGATTAAGTATCTTCGTAACGAGTTTCCTACTGTGGCATTCAAAGCATCGACTCAACAACAAAATAAAAACTTGGTAAGGAAAAACATTTTTAACTCACCTAATGAGAAAAATCAACATATTCTAAAAGTTTATGATGACAAATATCACCAACCTGCCTTTTCTCTTTGCCCTGAGCAGAAACGCAGCAACGTTTCTGTGACACAAGCCACCGCAGAGCTCCTCAGCAGCAGTGCATGCGTCGGAGCTGACTGCTTGATGAAATTACTTGGCAACTATTGTCGCAACATTGACATAAAGACGGCCATCACTGTGGGTGTTGTAGGTAAGCTGCGGTGGGCAGCCAGGCTTACTGCTTTTGTTTGTGTCCACACAAGATCTGTTCGGTTTGGGGATTGGGTTGAACGTGTTTTTGAGTTTCTGTAAGAATAACAGACACGAGACAAACGGACTGAAGTGCCCAGTATGCTCCGTCCAAACTGCTGAAATCAGCTTGCATCGTTGCAGCTTTGTGATGAAAATGCGTCACTTTGTTGGCAGCTTTGAGTCTTCCACCCCTTCTTGTCCCTTGTTGTCCCTAACCGCTGTGGGAGCCCCCCACCGAATGAGAATTAAACTGATTGGGCAGAAGTTTGTGGGCGTGTTTGTTCATGTTGGAAACGCTTGGGAGGCTGCGTTTTGCTTTAACTCCTCACTTCCACAAGTTATTGTAACTGGAAGCAGACGTTTATAGAGAGTTAAATGGCCAAAAACTCATGAATGGAGATAAAACAGGCTTGCACAGAGGAATCTGTCTGCAGAAAACTGTGGCGCTTTAATGGGGACAGGTTTGTAAACAAAATAATGACAGATATCAGACAGGGTTCATGCAGATCCTTAAAAAGTCTTAAAGGGATCCCTGATTAGTTGTAACATTAGACTTTTTTTGATAAACTTATATTTTAACTGTAAAATAAAGACTGTAAAAATACTGTAGGCTGTTTAGTTTTGTAAATATTTAAAAATATATTTTAACACGGACGGAGCCATTTTATTTACACGCAAAGCATTCTGGGTAAATGATGATGTCAGCTAGGTCCTGGTGCGAGGCT